GGGGCTAGGAAGCCCCCCGGCTCGAGGACTCTGGTGGTGGGAAGAGTGCCAATGATACCACTGCCCCTCTCCCCACAGCTACAGCGCCAAACCCCGTGCCGCAGTCAGACACCCTCTGCCCCCGCTGCCCCAGAGCTAGATCAAGGCTGGGCCAAGTTATTGCAGCACCGCCACATTGGGACCAGCCCCTCTTGCCAAGCATTGCCCTGGATGTTGGATCCAGGCCAGGGCCAGACTTGGCACTACCCCTCCGGCTCGGCTCGTGGGGCGGAAAGGCTGGGCATCCATCCCCGCGCTAGGTGGCTCCTTCCCAGATCGCACAAAAGCCAGAGGGGCTCTTCTGATTTCATGTTAATGAGCAAACGTTTTTTGTTTTTCACCAGGAGTGTCAGAGTCACAGCCACGGCCCCCACCGACCTCACGTACACAACTGGCACAGCATCCACGCAGATAAAGAGATAACAAAGCCACCAGAAGCAGCTCCGCTGGTAGAGGACTATAGTACCTGTGATATTGTCAAAGCTACTCAGTAAGTCCAGAAAATAGTGACATTTGTGAAGACTGTTCAGATTTAGTTTTTTATTTCTTCACAAAGAAAAACGTTTTAAAGCTGCTGACGACTTGACTGTTTTTTTTATTCCATCTTACAAAATAAAAACTGAAAGGTAACCCTATAAATATGATAGGTAGTGGTTTGTTTGTTTTTTTTAAGTTGCAAACAAGATGCAGATAGCTGGCACTTACCCAGGTTGGTTTCACTAGTGGTAAAACTGATGGATCACCTAATTTAAGATGGCTTAACTAAGTTTCCATTTAACCTAACGCCCATCCTTACCCAAGAAAAACTTTCACTAAATCCAGTAGGGAATTTTGCTTGGATAAGAGCTGTTGGATTAGGACTTCTGTGACCTTTTTTTTAGAAAGCATCACTTACTCAAAAAGAGAGAATACGAATAGGAGAGAAGTATGAAATAAATCATCCATAACTGAAATATTTTTTCCTACTTGAGGTACGGCATATTGGAGCGGTGCAAGGAATTGGTAGAAGCAGGGTTTGATGTCCGACAACCAGACAAAGAAAATGTGACTCTTCTTCACTGGGCAGCAATAAACAACAGACTGGATCTTGTAAAGTAAGTTATGTTGTTTTTGTGAATATAAAACCTGTGTATGAGGGGTTAAAGTGAAGGGCAAACTTTTTTTTTCTGCACCTTCATTTTCACTTTTATTAACATTTTGCAGAACAAAGTGAAAACAAACTATACTGTTTGGGAACAAAAGTATAGAGTTACACTGACCTTCCTACATTCAGTGTACTTAGGTTATACCTCTGCATGAGTATACTACTACTTTGTACATTTTTTAAATGAGAATTCATGCAGTACATGAGATCCAGTGTGGTTCTGACCACAGATTGTAATTACAACAAAAATGGCCATGGCCAGCTTTTTAAATAACAGTATCTTCAGAGAAATTCCATCTACAATATCCTACTTTCTTGGACTTCAAGGTACTTCCCTGGAGTAGCAAGGAAAGAAAGGGTACCACATCTCTCTAAACAGTAAAATCAAACAGTAGTGTGCAGCTTTGAATATGGATTTCATATCTTGTGTACTAATCCTGCTAAATCTGTGGGACTGGAGGGTATTAGCAGTCTCGTACGTTGAGTGGGATTTGAATATTTATGTCTGTCCTTTTGGTATTGCAAAGTACCTGATGTTGCAGGTGGACTGCAATTGAGTTTAGTTGAGGCTCTGCACAAGTGTAGGAATCTGCTCATATGAAACGTAGTCTCGCTTAGTAAATATATTTAGCAAGTCCATATTCTTTACAGAAGAATGGACAGAGACTAGTTCAATAATTGTTTCCATGGAAGCAGATTTATAATTTGGAGAGCTAGTTAGATTAGAACTGAATTTGCATGACATGCAAATGTCACTACTTTAATTCTTAACACTAGAAATGCTTTAGTAGTTACCATATTTTTGAATTCAGCACCTTCTCAAAATTGTATTGTTATAGTAAAATATTTTTAACTATGCATCTTCCATGTGAAAGTATCTTTATAACAAACAAAGTAATTACCAGAACAGTCAGTCTTTTCTCTATTTTTTTCTCTCTCTCTCATTTGTCTTATTTTATTGCCATTATACAGGTTTTATATTTCCAAAGGTTCAGTAGTGGATCAGCTAGGTGGAGATTTAAATTCTACTCCTCTTCATTGGGCCATTAGGTAAGGTGCTACTAAAAGTTAATTTGTTGGTGCATTTTTGTATAGATGCTAGCAGCCCTAATGCCTATGAAATCTTAAATTTAGTTAGTATTTATATTTGTTTTATGAAGATACAAAGAGGATGGTAGCTTTCATGTGTATGCTTGTCCTCAACTCTGCCCTCCCAAATAGGAATCTGGTTTAAATTCTCAAACTGAAATTTTCCATAGATGCAACAAGTATGTTAATGACATTGCAATATTAATTATTTTTTAAAAACGGAGATATACAGATCATTGAATGAAACAGTGGAGGTTTATTTATTTATTTTACAAAGATAACAGTAGAAATTAAAATGCTGGTTCCTATACCTCCAGAAAAGTAAATTCTTAGGAGACATTTCAGGCCTCTCCCCAAAAGTTAATTTTGTTCCTTAGTTAAGTGTACTTTTAGAATATAGTCAAAGTTAAAATGATGACGGTTCACTTCATGAACCTCAAGCTCACTCCGAGGTTTTCCAAGTTATTTGATGGTTAATCATTTCAAAGATGATTTTAATATACATTTATAAAAAATGTATTCATAACCATCTGTAGTCCTCACATATTAAAGGTTTCTAACAACGATTTCATATCTCTTTACAGACAAGGTCACTTATCTATGGTCATACTGTTGTTAAAATGTGGAGCAGATCCCAGCCTCATTGATGGAGAAGGATTCAGTAGCGTTCATTTAGCAGTGCTCTTTCAGCATATGCCTATAATAGCTTATCTCATATCGAAAGGGCAGGTAAGTTTTCTATTTACTGTGTACACTGCACATCCACATGTGGTGTGTGCGCACATGCAGATACAGAAGAGCAAAAAAGAAAAGCAGAAACAGGACACAATCGAGCAGAAACTGTGGTAGGACATGCTGCTACACATGTATATATTTATGTAGCTGATGTCTACGTTGTCTTGTTTTCAAATGAAAATGTCAAGCTGGCCTTGAATAAGTTATATCCTACTTTCAGCTGCTTAATAAGTTTGTTTGTTTGTTTGTTTGTTTTAAATCTTCCTGTTTATATCTGTTGAAATCAAAGGCATTAAATAATCCTGCACAGCCTTGTGCAGTTCTGTAGCACTACATAAATTATACTTGGTCTTTAAAAACTCAGTTACTGAAAATATAACTTGGCATCACATGTTAATTTAAGAATGAAATACCGTATTCCAGGGGTGGGCAAAATGGTGGATCTAGTTGGTAGCCAGACTTTATTTCCAAGCAGGCCTGCCTGCATGGCTAGGGCAGTACTGGCAGGGCAGAGCTGCTTCCGGAGCCCAGGTGGCATCCTATGGCAGTGACAGCGTGGTCCAGAGCGAGGGCAGAGCTGCGATCCACTGCCTACATGCCCCTGCCCGATGCATGCAGGCTGCAGATCTCAACTCCACCCTGGCTCTGAACTCCTCACTGTCATGGCTGCAGATCCCAGCCAGGCTCCAGAGCAGCTCTGCACCCTACCATATGCCCTGCTAGCAGGGAGAGGTGGACTTGGGGAGTAGTCTATAGCCACACCAAAATTCCCCATAGCCACCCCTTCCAGCAGTGCTACCACTGCTGCCCACCCCACACAAGTTGCGGTAGCTGAGCCTGCTCCGCTTTGCCCACAGCACAGCACCCCGACCAGGAAGAGGTTGACACTGCTGCTGCCTGTCAGTGCTGCTGGGGCCAGTTTCCTCCTAAATGGAACCCCTGGCCCTGCACTATCAAGGCACAGCTGCTACTGGGGTCTCCATGAAAAGCAGCCACAGCTACACAGGCAGGGGCTACTGGGAAATTGGGTCCACTACTGACTGGATCTGACCCATGGGCTGGACTTTGCCCGCCCCTGCTGTATTCTAACTTAAGCAAGTATTGATCATTAGTGAAAGCTTTTAACTTGGGGATGTCAAACATATGGGCTGGATCCAGCCACTGGAGCTCTGCCATCCAGCTCCCAGTGCTGCCTCTGGTCAGACCCACACAGGGCACAGCATGTCTGTGGTGCAGGGCCCAACCACAGGGCAAGTTGAGTCATAAATGCTCCCTGAACCCCCACCCCAACATACCTGAACTGGAGACAGAGCAGATCCTGGAGCTGCTGAAATGGGCATTGCAAGCGCATGGCACCTGCTCTGGCAGCTCTAAGTCTCTGCTGCATGTGGTACCTGTTCCAGCTAGTCTGAGACCCACATGCAGGGTCCTGCTCCCTGCACAGCCTCTGTTCCCCCTACCCCAGCCTCTGCTTCATACCATTCATCTGGCTTATGAGCCTAAATGAGTTTGATACCTCTGTTAAAAATGGTTCAACTGAGCCTCTGTCTTTCAGTATTTTCCAAAGCCATATATTCAGTCATTATCTGTGGCATGCTCAATTTAAGGGCAACAGCAAGACTAGAATATGTGCCAAGTAGAACTCTTTTTTGATAACTACCATATTTACTTGAATCTAAGACAACCCCCCCAATAATTAGATTCTGTACATGGAAAATGTATAAATTTGTTATAAGTTTCCAAGTATAAAGTCTAATTATTGGGGGGGTTGTCTTTAATCTACCCCCTAACCCTAGGCAGGGGGCAAAAGTATGGGGTGTGGGAAGGTCAAGCTTGCCCCTTACATGTGCCTGCCCCCCTACCACCTCTGCAGCCTTGGGCCCACCCTTCCCCCTTCGCTTTTGCTCCTGCCTCTCCCCGCCCCAGCCTTGCTCCATGCCAGGAGGATCCATCTCTGTTTTAGTTTCAGGCCTCCAGCCCAGCCCCCATAGGAACTGTGCAGGCTGTGTGCTACTACTAAGGAGCTGGACTGGGGCTGTACTCAGTGCCCCAGGATGCAGCATGACTGGAGCATGCCAGCACACAGTAAAGGTAAAGGGAAAAGAGAGAGGGGCAGGCAAGGGAGCAAAGGCTGCAGGGGGGAGATGGTGGGGTGCAGAGTGGTGGGGTGGGGGTAGGAATGCAGGCAGTGATTGTGGCTACAGCTCCAATCCCAGGTGGGGGCTGGCTGCTGTGACTCAGGCTCCATGTGCCCTTCCCTGCTCTCATACTCGATTACAAGAAGAAGGACTTCCTCCACCCCGCTCCACCCACATTAAACAGTGGGGGAGGGGAACCTCATATTAGAGTCAAATAAATATAGTGTATACCAATGAGCTTAGCAGTGATACCTTGACTGCCTGGGAAACTTAGATTGTAAGCCTGAAAGTATGTTGTTACTTTGACTCACCCTTAATAATATTATTTATCTGAATAAAAGCATGCATGTAGGTGACAGCTTGCATTATCAGGGTCTTTGTCTTCTCAAAAAATGCTTTGTTTTAAGATTTTAAAATCTAATGAATATATTCACACTATCCTAGAGCCCATTATAATAGAATAATAATTATAACCTCTAAAGTATAGCTGTAGATAGTGTATGTCAAAAACATAAGTACAAAGCTTTTCCCATTTAGTTCATTGAGGTAAAAAATTCCCTTGGACTCGGTCTGTGTTGTAATGTAATTACGTATGTGAAATAAAATCACATGTAGTGGGAAGTAGTAGTTTTAGTTGACCCACCTGTATATGTGGAGGAAGAAGCAAGACTTTCTAATTAACAGCAGTATCTGGAAAGACTAAAGGACTAAATCAAGACTGTTCTTTTAAATCAGGGCTGTCCAAGTTCTAAGCCTTGTGGGGCCACATCCCCAGGGGTTGCTTGCTGCACAGGTGATACCAGGTGTGCCATGTAAACGCTCCCATAGCTGCAAGCACGATCCTGATCCTTCCTTCCCCACCCCACTCTGCACCCCCCTGCTGCAGTGCACAGCCCCACCTGAGTGTCGCCCCAGACTGACCCTCAGGTCCTCATACTGCTGTAGTGCTTCACCTCCTGGGGCAAAGGCAGAAATATAGCAGCAATGGGAGGAGGGCGGAGCCTCGGTGCTCAGGCTGCCATTGCAACTGAAGTGATGGAGGGAGCCATGGCTGGGTAAGATATTAACTCCACACATGCAGCTTAAGGACCATCAGTTGGACAGCCTTGTCTTAAATTATCCCTGTTGGAATCTATCGGCATGTGCTGAAGGGAACTAGGAAAGGGTGGAGAGATTCCTTCTAACCAGAGTGGTAGATTCTCAGCTCATGTAAATTGATCTCACTTCTAACTCTCCTAGGGTTATTTCCACCATCCAAGAATCTGACAGGATATCTTTATTTCCTGAACCCTTGAGTAATCGGAATATATCTTTTCATGCCTAGAGTGTAGATTCAACAGATGTCAACGGACAGACACCTCTTATGCTATCAGCATTCAAAATAATTGGGTAAGTGTCAGGTATTAGTAAAATAATTATCAGCCTGTTTGCATCCATGTAAGGAATGGGGCTAATTTTCATGAAAATGTATCTTTAAAATAACAAGTAAATGTGCCAGTTTTAGTACATCTGCAGATGCCATATTTCACAGATTAATGAGTGAGGTTGGTTGTAGTAAATAAGGAAGGAACCAGTTCCCTTCTGTAGGGA